ATGTGTGTACGTGTGTGTATGTGTGTGTGTGCGTGTGTGTATACACACACGCACACACACACAGGCAGCCTCTATACCCATGGGAAAGGCAAACTTGAGTTTCTGTCAAGGAAAGTTTTATAAGGTCTTCACGTCTTGAGCGAGGGTGTTTGCTGCTTTGTTTCATAGAAGAGAGAAGTGCATTGGCTTGAGGTGGAGCAAGGGGTTGAATTATGAGTCTAACTTGGTACCAGATGCTTTACTTTTGGCCCATGGGGTTTCTACAGGTCTTCTTTAGGTGGAGATGTTGAGGGGAGGGGATAAAAAAAGGAAGGGAGGGCAATCACCTTACTATTTCTTCACTTGTAGATGAGGTTCCCGTGGGAGTAAACCCTTTCCCCCCAAATTTCCCACCGAAACGGTCACAGTGCCCTTTCATTGATGGAGGAAGAGGGAGTGATTTGCCTCCTTCTATGTTGACTCCTGTAAGCATTAAATGAGTTATTTCATGTCAAGTACTTACTCTACTCAGTAAAAATTGCCACCATTGTGTTTTCATTGTTTTTGCGGCATACTCTTCACAGAAACAAAAACCAGGAGAGGTTCAGATAGCTTTTCACTTGTTATTTCTAGGGATAAGAACCTAAATCATACAGCGTCAAGATGGGATGGTGGAAGGGAGGGGACAGAAGTGAAAAATCTGCCCATGGGTGCACCCATGTACCTGTGCCTCCAGTTTGCATTTCTCAAGGTCACAGGGGCCTCACCGCCAAGGCCTTAGGGCAGCACGTCCCCTTTGGGAGTCCTCCCACAACCCCCTCTATTCCCTCCCAATTCCCCTGGCCCTTTAACTCGTTACCTCCTCTGGAATTCTCCACCTTCTCCAAAGTCTCCTCTTTCCTGGTTTACTGCCTTTCCCCCAGATGTCAGAAGTCCCAGCCCTCTGGTGTATATAACTCTTCCAGCCTCTCGTTTATACATTTCTACATCTGGGGGTGGGAGGGAGTGGGCGTGTGTTAAGCCCCAACTATAGAAGGGGCAGGAAGGATGTTGGGGGCAGTTCTTTACTCCAGATGTGCCCTTGACTTTCTATTTTCCCTCATCATCTTGAAGGACCTGAAAAAGAAATCCAACATCCTTCAGATTGCTTAATGCCCTCTTTGAGTCTATATGCAGTGCCACCTAGTAGAGTGTCCTTTGATTGTCGTTTTGCTGTACAATGAAGTCATCTTGAATGAACCTGCGGCTAGAAGACACCTGACTGCATCAGAATGCCAAGTTGCAGGTCCTAGAGGGCAGGTGGTAAATATCTCCCTAGAAGATTGTAGTTCGGTGCTCACTGAATTGGAGGCCTTTCCCTCCTTTGCTATTTTAACTCATACTGGTAGCTCTCTTCTCTAAATAATGGTGGCGTGTTTACATGCTATCTTGCATTTCTCCTCATTGATTTGCTGCTTGTTTTGTGCGTAACCCCCCAATTAGATTGTAAACTCCTTGAGGACAGTGGCTATTTCTTATTTCCCTCTGTGCCCCTCAGGGTGTCGGCACAGTTTCTGGCTCTCAATGAGCTTGAACCCACAGCAGGCTGCTGTGTAACAGACCTTCACCACTTCAGAATTGGAGGTGGATATTTATTAGTGAGTTAGTTTGATATCTTTTTCCTGCCTTGTTAAATCTTTTTTCTTCATTGAGGCCTGAGACCCCATTAAGGCTTATCTATGCAGCTCCGCCATCCTCAGCACCATTTCTCTTTGCTTCCCCTAATTTAATTATTGGAAAACGATGCTATATAGCCACTTTATTTCCAAATGAGATTCATTTACCATCTCTGGGACCAGGCCTCGTGTGCCCATTCTGAAGCCAGATTGGCTTTATTTTTAAAGAATAATCACCACTAAATATGTTTGTCTTCAGAGAGAAATTCTTTAGAAATTAGGCCCCAAGAGAGAGAGGTCATATGATTGGGGGAAATCATGCCAGTTATGCAGTATTTAATTCCAAGTCCCAAATGAGAGGGAGTCCCTGGTTTAACACAGGAGGTCTTCACATAAGATTCTCTTTTGTTCATATTTGAAAGCGGATGCAAAGAAGTGGGGGTTTGGGGTTTGCATCCCAGATGTGTTGGAGCCAAGGTCTATGAAACATTAGATTCTGTGTATTGGGAACTTGGACCTTAACAGAGCAGGCAGGCAGGTGCTGGCACTCAGGCAAGCCATGGTCCTTGGGGTGCTTGCCTCACAGAAGCTGACTGGCTTGATGGAGAAAGGGGTTCAGGGGATGAGCTTTTAGCTCTGACCCCAGCCCTGTGGCAACCCAGCTGTGAGACAGAGGACATGTCACAATTTCTCTGATCCTCACTTTAGTCAGTATGTAAATAAAATGGGGTAAGATTGGGATTTGGGACTAGGTGACTTATTAAATTTTTTCCCTGGAGACTGTAGATCTTAGAAGTTCTCATCACAAGAAAAAAATTGTGTAAGTATGTTTGGTGATGGATCCTAACTAGTGTTATTGTGGTGATCATTTCATAATATTTACCTATAGTGATCATTATGTCGTACACCTGAAATGAATATGATATTATAGGTGATTTATAGCTAAATACAAACAGAAAAAGAAAAAAAATATTCCAAGTGAGCTTCTAGAGAGGGACAATGTGATGTAGGCTTCTGTTGGACCTGTGGCTTCAATACTACATGCTGTTTTCACAGAGATTCCTAAGTTGTGATAAAAAACACAATTAGTAGATTGTTTATGGGTCATTTAGTGTAAGTCTTTACATTAAAAGTTACTCAAGATCTCATACAGCAGTGGTTCTAAAGTTGTCTTTACAGACAACACCTGTAAAGTCTCTGTGCAGAACACACACACACACACACACACACACACACACACACACACACACACACACACACATGCATGCACACATAACTTTTCATATAACTTTGGGGAGTTCATGGACCCCATCAAGGCAACTGATTCCTTTAGACCCTTTGCTANTCTTTCTTTTTTTCTTCTTTTCCTAAACAGATTGTACCCTTTGAAAAATCCTAAAAGGATTTTGATACTGGAACCGCTAAAATTCAGGAAGGATTTAAATTTAGGATTATAAGCTATCCCACTGCAAAATTCTCCTGTGATCAAATATCACATTTTAGGAGATGAGTGACTTTGTAGCTGCCATTCAGGCTGATTCTTCTCGTTATGTGCAATATTAATAAAACAGGGGGACTGTGGGCCTCAGGGTGAACTTTGCAGAGCCAGGACTGCCAGGCTGGCCTGCTGTCAAAGGCTCCGGCTTCAGAAATAAGTCAGAGGGCTCCAGGCCTCCTCAGAGGCTGCGAGGCCCTGGGGGAGTCTGAAATGGTTGCCTACGCGGGTAAATACAGGTTATAAGCAAGCTCTGAACAAAGAGGCATGAGGTGGGGCCCCAGGAAGCCATGGCTGACTAGAGAAGAAATGGAAAAACCCTCAACCTCTCCCTCCCCCTGCTGCCTTCCCACATGTAGCCCATTTTTTGTCCTTTCCTTTGGGAGGTTATGTGGCTCTAGGCAGAGGGAAGGAAACATGGGTTGAGGGGCTTCAGGACATGCTACCCCAAGATATGGCACCTTGGCATGTTGAATATTTTAAGCTGAAGGAATTTGAGAATTGTTACCAAATAGAGTTCATCCGCCCGACACTAGCAGAGCCAAACACTAAAATCTGAGAATTGCAATGGAGATAGATTGGCTATTTTATTACAAATGGCCCCCCCCTCCCCGCAGGAAGCAGGAAGCTAATGCTCAAAAGCCCAAACTCCCAATCAAGAGTTTGGGGCAGGTTTTTAAGGCTTTAGGGGAACAGATATGCAAAAACGCTGGTGGGGCAAGTTTTATTTGGAGGACCTTAGAGGTTGGCCATTTATGGAAAGGGGCGTCAGCACCTGATCTCCCTGGGAAACAGCCCCTTTGCTTTTAAAAGGGTTCCGGTGGGCAACTTCCCTTTAAGTCTTGGTCTTTTGGTTCCGTGAGGGGCGGGGAGGGGTCGGTTCCGGGTGCAGCTGGAGGTCCAAGTTCTCTCCTCTGCGCCGGCTGCATGACTTGGGGTTTTGGTCTGTTGTCTCTGAAAAGCAACTCAGTATCTCGTTAAATGGGATAGGACCACTCTGAGCTGGTGCGGGGAGGACTTTCTGGCCTTGTCCTGAAGCAGGTCATAAGACCATCAGGTGAGACGTGCCCTTCCTATAGCGGAAGAAAGGAGGGTCCTCATCTCCGAGGACCGAGGGACACTGAGCGAAATCTGTACTAGCCGGCCTTGCTAAGTCTCCTCAGGTCACCACTCTGCACTCACACCCCTTTTTGTCCTATCACTTTTTCCATGACTCTCCACGCTTCATGAAATCTAATAAAAACACTTAAGTTGAACTGTTTCTTCAGGTCTTCTTTTCCTTGTGAATCCAGAATCATGTAAAACTTAGAGTAAACAAATTTGTACTCTTTTCTCTTGTTAATATGTCTTTTGTTACAGGGGCTCCAGCAAGAATTTAGAAGATAGAGAAAAAGGCATGATGGGTAAGTCATCCTAAATTTAATACTCTACAGCTCACTTTTCCCTAAGGTTACCCCCTCTTCGTCAACTTGTGTTACGTGAGTCTCATAACCCTGTGGTATCTTAGTGCAGCGGTTCTCAACAGGGGATATTTGTTAACACCTGAAGGTGTTTTCGATGCTGCTAAACATAGGACACTCCCCCCAAACCAAGAATTATCTAACCCAAAATGTCAATTGTGCCTTAGTTTGAGATAACCTGCTTGGACAACAAGCCATAGGTGGGTACAGCAAAGCTGCTGAACAATTCCTGCTTTTTGGGGTACTGTTCTGATGGCTGAGGTGGGCATAGTGGGTGGTGCAAGTGACTGTGTCATCACAGGCTGAGGGAGAGAAGAGAAGGGGAGTGGTGCCTGGGCCTCTGGCTTCCTGCCCATGTGGGTGTGATGTGGGGAAAAGAGAGAGGCAGAGAGATAAACAAGTCAGAGCAAACCCATTTAGCTACTTAAGATCAGCATGAAATAAAAATGGCAGAAAACCATAGAAAACAAATGGGGATAAACGTTCAGGGGACACCTGGCCAGAAGAAGGAAGTTAAAGGCACAGACAGGCCAGTTAGGTGCAGTCAATGTGAGAGCTTAGGAACTCTCAGGTTCAGCCCACACCTTGAATCCTATTTTCTAAAAGCACTGCCCATTCCCTTGAAAAAAGAGCTCTCTTCTCTGCCAGCCCAGGAGACAAAGAGCAATGCTTTGCAAAATCCATAAAACAAAAGACTCCAACAGTGTCAAGCCTCTTTAAACAATCACTTGTGCTATGAGGCAAAACAACTCAGAGTCCGGATAAGCACTGTGGTGGTATTTTTCATGTTGATTGCAATAACACCATCAAAGCCATGCACATTCTGTGTAAAATCAATGTCTGCTTGTTGGAGGAGGAGGAGGGGAGAGGCCTGGGGATTTTATCTTGTAAGTTGGCTTTGCAGATAATCGCATGCCTCGGGCTTGGGAAAAATTGATGGTAGATCAATGGTCAGGAACAGGAACTGGGCTCACTTGTGACAGGCCAGTGTTCGCGGGGTCCTCGGGATGTGCAGGACGGACGGGGTGACTGGGGCCATGCTTCTGAGGGGGCTGGGAAGGTCAGGGCGTGACCGGCAAGGTAACTAAGGATCACTCCAGGAGGGTTCAGGTACTAGGAAGGAGGAGCCTAAGTGGGAGAAAGTTTCCAGGGGCTAAAGGACGCTCCTATCCAGTAAGGGGGAGACTGCGTGCGCGCCGGCGTGCGTGCATGCGTGCGTGCGTGCATGTGTGTGTGTGTGTGTACCTGTGTGTGTGTACCTGTGTGTGTATGTGTGTATGTGTGTGTACGTGTGTATGTGTGTACCTGTGTGTTNGGAACATAATTTTTAAAAATAAGTAGATCAAAGAAGTGCGTTTACTTAAAGAACTTTCTGCATGTATCTTAAAGCATTTTCCATTTGATCCCCTCACAATCTTGTCCTGGAAATGTGGACATTTTAGGCATTATCCCAGTATCAGCTCTAGAGTGAGGGCTCTTACAGGTCAGTGGGGTTTGCTGATCCTCAGGCCTGACCTTCCTGTTTTCTGAAGGTAGAGATGGTGACCTGGCTGCAGATCCTGTTACACTTACTATCAGGGTTGTCTATACCTGTTGCAGAGGTCATCCCTTTTTATCTGTTTGGCATTTGTGACAAATGTATGTTCTTCATTTCCATGCACCCAGTTGCATGCTCAAGTTTAGAGATATTCTAGTGAAAAAGAAAAAGTTCCTCTCCTCAATGTGTTCTCTGTTCAGAGACCTTCCAACTGGAGTGGGGACTCCTGGGGCTGGGAGAGTAAAGGATGTGATGGGCACACAAATGTGAGGACAAAGGTTGAGAGAGATCCTTGTCTTCAAGGCTCTTCCCCCCATTCCCACATAATCAGACTTTCTTCTTCCCACAATGCCTTGGAATTTGAGGTAGACATAAAGATTAAGCCTTCCCTGCCCTCAGAAACAGGGGAATACCATTTTGTGGTTTGAAAATTTTGGTCTTTATATCTAATAGACTAACAAAGTCCATCATGAAAGGGACAAAAGGAAGAGGTGTTTTAGGAAATAGGTAGAAAGCTATAGGGACGCAGGAAGAAAGAAGCAGGGATCCCCCTGGCTTTGAACAGGAGCAGAAACCTGTGGCTATCCTGAGGGGCTTGACCCAAGCACTGCTCTGGGCCAGCTCCCTGAAGCGATGGCTAGGCCTCAGCGAGTAGACTGCCTAGAGAGGATCTAACTAGCGTGGAAGGGGTTTGCAGGCACCATACAGCTTTCACAGGCATCTCATGGCACAAAAATGGGTAGCAATGAGGCTCCAAGAAACCCATGGAAAAGCAGATGAAGATTATCAGTAGACAACATGGTGGGCTTGGATCTAGAAGTCTTCCCCTCTTTTCGTTCAGCACAACTTCACCAAAAATTGTGAAAGGATTTCCCATCAACCTCTTACAACCAAGGTTTAAAGGAAAAATTAAGATTAATGAAAGATAAAGAATCGTGAGGGCTGGCCAAGTGGCGCGTTGGTTAGGAGTTGGCTTGGGACGCCAGCTCTGAGCAACAGGGCCCCAGTTTGGATCCCACATGAGGGCCAGTGATGCTGCCCTCTACAGCTAAGATGGTGAACAACAGTTTGACCTGGAGCTGGGCTGCTGTGGGTTGCCAGCAGCTGCATAGGCTGCAGTGGGGCTGGTTAGCAGCTGACATGAGCTTTCGTGAGCTGCTGTGAGTGGCCCTCCAATGGCCGGTGAGCAACTGTCTCTCCTGGGAAGAGCGCAATGATAATATCAACTTGGACCAGTAAAACGACGTCCTCCACAACTAGACTGAAGAACAAAAGGACAGTAACTTGTCTGTTCCCCTTCCCCGATTTCCCAACACTGTTCCCCTCCCCCAGTTCCCCAATAAAATCTTAAAAAAAAAAAAGAATTGTGATAGTCATTGCCTGCCTGAGTCTTATGACTGAGATGTATACCCATGATGGGTGTATTTAGTTGTAGCACGCCATATGCTCAACGACGATAGCTGTCCAGCTCAACCTTTTTGAAAGATGCTTGCTATTTCTTAATTCACAAGATAATTCCTGGCCCGTCTGCCACCTTTCTTCGCAGTCTGTCCAGGGATTCCAGGTGCTCCCCATTGGTGGTTTCCAAGGAGAAAGGCAAATTTTGGAGCCTTAGGCTCTTCATCCAAGGACCCTGTGCTGCAGCGCCTGACTCTGGCAGGAGTTACAATGTTACCACCCCATTAATGGGTAATATGCACAGGGATAGGTTAGATTGCCTCCATTATTCAAGGAGCTCCATGTGCCGGTAGCAACAATTACTAAGACGCATAAATACAACAAAGTTAATTAAAATGTTAGCTGATATAAATAACCTAAGGTTATTGAACATTGTTCCATTTTAAATTAATAAATACGCCAAGGTAATGTTTATAATTAAAGCTATAATTTATCTTCATGCTCTGTTTGTTTAATAGCAGTGGTAATATAACGCTACATGCAGAAATGTAGTAATAGATTTGTTTAGCACTGACATTATAAACAAATGTCTCAGTCTATTTATTCTAAGTTATGATACAGATTCTTTTCACATGCATCTGATGGCCTTTAAACCATTTAAAATGAACTGCATTAACGTAATCTAATCTTGATACTGAACATAACATTTCAGTTTGAATTATCCTGAATCCATGATCCATTTTATTACTCACAAAGCACTTTATACATTTATGATAATGGCAAACCTTGCTCTGTTATTTAAATCCCATTTCAAAAGGGATGTGTTTTTTTTTTTAAATAAATAAACCCCACACATTTGGGGTAGTAAAGTACAAAAAAGGAAAAGCCAATGCCCAGCAAGCCCTTTAACAAAGCAAACAATTCAGATTTTTATGACATTAGCAAATAATAAAGGGAAGAACTGACATTTACAGTTGATGAAATTTTATGTTATAACAGATGACAAAAATGGAATGAAAATCACATGGAAATAAATGTGTCCATGAGGTTCAGCCATTCCGAGGCACTCTTTACCTGTGGACTGTCTTTGGGGACACTTTTCTGTCTTCAACCTTTATTCAGCCGTCGGAAAGGTCCCAGGGCTACCCTGGGTGTCAGGCTCGCTCAGACAGCTGAGCACAGGCCACACTTTCAGTTGCCTTTCGATCCCGCTCGCTTTAGCTTCATTTTCTGTGCTCTCGATTTTCTCCTCCCTCCCTTTCATTCCCTATCTCCTGAACTCAAGGGAACTCTCATTCTCCACCCTCTAATTTAAATGATAATAAACGACAAGCCTGCTCTTTCCTATGGCTGCTTAAGGTATTGAGGAAAGAAGAGAGTTTTGTATTTCTTGTGTACTTCTAATTTCTTTTCCTTAACATAGCTTCTTGTCTCTCTCTCTCCTTAATCCCCTGTCAAATAAATGTTTCTTCTGGGTTTATTTGCAGTCACTGAAAGAAGTTTCACTTTATTTTAGTACGAACATTTCATTGGATGTCTTAGAAACGGTTGCCCCTTAAGTCAAATAGACAACAAAAATAATTTTT